TACATTCCGAAAGCAAAGAAAATCCTGGAGAAGTGCAAAGGCCGAACTTACGTTCTTGAGAGAGATAGTAAGATCAGTGAGCTTCTTCAAAAGATAGAAGATCTGGTGGAGGAGAACTGTGGTGATGTATTCATACCACAGACGTACTATGAACTGTTTGAGTGGAAGAGAGTAGATCTCCGTCGCAGACGGAGAAGTTTAGAGTGGAATCCTCCTGACAGTGAGTGTTTTTTTTTATTAATGGCAAACACGTGTCTCACATGTCACTTATGCACTAATCTAATGCTGTTTTCTTTAACAGTGACCAAAGGGAAGCCCGACTTTGTGAATGAGCCACAAGCACTTTTGATGCATTACTTCAAACCCATCTCAGTGATAGCGCTGGCTGTATTCGGAGCGCTTCTCGGCGCAGTCACTGGAGCTGAATATGGAGTTTCGGGAGCTGGTGCTGGATTACTTTTGGGAAGCATTCTAGCAGTTTTCCTTGCCTTCTTGATCTTTGAAGTAACAGAAAACAGGACCAATTAGTAATATAGTTAAGTTACACACAACCTAACAATCTGTTAATAGTCCGACTGAAAGCTCAACACGACTGAAAAACTGTGCTGTAAACATTGCATATTAGCATTTTAAATATACATTTAATAATTAGCCATGTAAAACTTTTGAATCTGATTACATTCTCAACCAGATCAAAAATACTTTGCGCACATGCACAGTGCAGTAGTGCATGTGTTTATTTACATCTTATGAATGTCTTAAACTGGAGAATGAATATTTTTACATAAGAATGAAGATTTGTACATAAGAAATACGTAAGAAAAATGCTTTCCTGGCCTGGTGGATTTCTCCACATTTCTCTGTTTCTTCTGAATGTGACTTCAGGCACTCTTTCATATAAATTTATGTAATGCCCAAATTTATGGTAAATATAAACAATATTTTTCAGGATCCACAATTGGATTGATAAAAATTAGTGTGTGTGTGTAAACATAGGCCTACTCATAGTCCTCAAGCAGCTAGTGATTTTTTTT